ACCCCCAGGCTGTCGCACCTCACACAGCAGCCCTGACTCTTGCAGATTCAGGAGGCAGCACAGGAACAGCTGTGGGGGGCAGGGAGCACTGCAGCTGGTGGAGGGGGGGGTCCCAGTCCCGACGCCCCACCCAGACTCTTAGGCTCCCCTCTACCCCTTCCCCATCCTGGGAGTGCCTGAGGCAGCCTGGGACAGAGAGGGTTCACGCTTTGAGAAAAGACGTTCCCCACGGCCCACCGGGGGGTACCCCTGCCCAGGCCCCTCCCGGAGGGAAGCTCTGGGACACTGCCCTTGCAGCCACACCTGGAACTCTCTCCTCCACCTGTGCCCTGGCTCAGTCCGGAGTTTCTGCCCGGAGGGTGCCTTCCTTGAACCCACAAGCCCAGGACAGGTGCTCCCCCAAGGTTGAAGTCCCTACACACAGCCCCCAGTGCCTACCCATTCTGCCTCCTCGTCTAGGGTGTGGGCTGCTGGGCACCTGGCACATAGCAGGTGTTTAGAAACAGCCGATGAAAGGATGAGTCAAAGGATGAGGTCTGTATTAATCAGCTCAACCTGGCAAACTCTCCCCAAGTCCCCTCGCAGGTTCCCCGGGGCCCCTGGGAATCACCCCCACCCCAGGGTGTGGCCCTTCTCCCACTTTCCTTCCCCTCTGTTGCTTGGCACCTGCTTCTTCTGCAAAGGCCCAAACTCTGCTCAGGGGCACCCAGAGGAGGCCACGGGGGGCAGGTAGGCAGAGTGGCTCTGGGCCCACCCCATACTCACGTTGGTGATCACCCTCAGTTTCTTAATGTAGGAGGCTTCTGTGTGCAGGAGCTCCCACACCGCCTCCTGCTGGTGGCACTGACGCCGGGTCAGCTTCTGTGGGAAGGGCAGGGTGTCTCCAGGAGCCCCCACGTGTGCCGGGATGGCCGGAGCAGGGGGGAGAAGGGTGAACGGCCCTGCACGTAACCTTTTTCCCAGCTGAGACACAGAGGTCCCCCAGGTTCTGGGTCAGCCACAGTTTCACCTTGCCTGAGTTCCTCCAAAGCAGGTTAACGGTGAGAGCAGCCTGGCAGGGCTGTCCCGTGGAACATCCCGTTGCCCTAGGAAGGGCCCCGTGGAGCAGGGGGATAACGTCCCCCTTTCCCTGAGGAGGGAGGGGAAGGCCACGGGCGGCACCCACCTCGTGGCCGTCGATGAGCTCCCGCCAGCTGTCCTCCAGCCGCAGGCAGGCGTCGTCCTCGTACTCCTCTTCGTCACCTTCCTCCTCCCACGAGTCGTGGTCAAAGCACAGCCTCCGGGGCAGCCTGGGCAGCCCGAAGAGGCTGTAGGCGTGCAGCTTGCCCTCCAGCTGCTCCAGCTTGGCCACCTCCTGAAAGGAGGCCTGTGGTCAGGGTCAGGGGTCAAGGCCAGCCAGCTGCCCTGCCCCAGGGCCCACGGGCCCACATACCCGGCTGAAGGCGCTGGTGCTGGGGCCTGAGCTGAAGAAGCCGCTGAAGCGACTGGCCGCCCGGTTCTTCCAGCTGTCACTGCCGCCACTGCTGCTGCTGCCGCTACTACTGCCGCTGGGCAGAGAGCAGCTGGAGGGCGCTGGGGGCTCCTGCCCAGGGATGCTCGCCTCCCCCAGGAACTCCGACATGTTCTTGCGTCGGCGGCCAGGGGCCTGGCCGGGGAGCGGGTGTCAGGGCCAGACCCCCACAGCCCCACCCCATGGTGGGTTTCCAGGACCTCGGCCAGCTGGGAGGCAGGAGGGTCTCTGCACACCCCCGCACCCTGGGGCGCCGCCTCTCCTGACACCTACACGTGCTCTGGGGGCCGGAAGGTCCAGACAGATGCAGCTGGATCTCCCTCCTGCCTGCCGCCCCAGCCAGCAGCATGAAGCAGGTGGGGAGAACACACAGAGGCACACACACACACGCACTCAGATGCAATCAGCAGCCCAGGTCCAAGTGGATCCCCGACACACACTCGTGAACACAACCAGTGACACACAAAGTCTCGCTCCCCACGCGATGTGTGCTTAGACACACACACACACACACACACAGACTCCTCGGGCACAAGCAGACTCTCAGAGACGAGGCCCATCACCATGAGGTACGGTTAGATCCAGGGAGGGCCCCGTATCCTCAAAGCGAGCCCCATTTCCCAGAAGCGGAATGTAAAGCCCCCAGAAGGAGTAGCAAGGCGCCCAGGTGACCTCCCCCTGGCCCCTCGCCGTCCCTAGCCCCGACACAGCCCCTCCTCACCAGGATGTCCAGGCTCTCCCGGCGGCTCTGCGGGTCCACGCGCTCCTGGGTGGGGGGCCCGGCCCCGGCTGGCCGCAGGATCGGCAGACTCAGGGACTTGGAGTCCTTCACCCCCTGCTCCACCTTCCCCTCGTCCCCTGGCTTAGCTGGGGTGGCATTAGGGACAAGTAGAGGTCCTCAACGCCCAGGCCCAGTGGAGAAGGGGGCCCCAGTACCCTCTCCCCCAAGGATCCAAACCAAGGACTGGCTGCCCTCCCCTGAAGCCCCGCCCTGCCAACGCCTGGCACTGCCCAGAGACACCTGTATGGTAATGAGCTTGCTCAAGGCCATGGCCAATGGGAACCTGAGCCTGGGAAGAAGCACCCTCCCCAAGGGACCCAGCCATGCCCCAGCTACCCGGCCCATCTAGTCATCTGCTCACCTTTGACCCGCAGGTAGTGTCCCCCAAACCTGTAGGCCTCAAAGGTGAGGGACAGGGGCGTGTTGGACTGGTCCAGGTAGATATCCACTTTGCCCAGTGCAATGCCCTTCCTTTCAAATACGGGCAGCAGCACCTCCCTGCCCGGGACAGGAGGTGCGCGTGTGCTGGGGGCCGTCACGTGAACCTCCACCCTGTCCACAGCCCCAGCGCCACCCCGCCCGCCCAAAGGGAAAGGGAGACACCCAGTGGATCACATACAGGTCTGTGCACACACACACACACCTGCCCACAGAGGTTCACGCTCCTGCATGCGTCTACACATGAGACAACACGCCCCTGCCCTCACACGTTCACGTCCGCACACCAGGGCAGACAGACACCGCTGCGTGTCCGTCGACACCCATTCACCCCCGCAGGACTAGGCCACGCGCAGGGGCTGGGACACAAACACGGCACCCAGGCCCTCACTGCACACGGGTGGGGTGCGCACAGGTGGGGGACATGCTTGTTCACAGGCCACCACACAGACACGCACAGTCACACCTGCAGGAGGCCACACCTGCCCCCCAGCCCCGTTCTCCCCACCAAGCCCCACCCCAGCGACTTCTTCCTCATGGCTGGTGCGATCTCCGTCTCGATATCCACGTTCAGGTCAAATTTCAGCGTGAAGCACTCCTTGCTTGGGTCCTGACAGGACAGGGGGTCTCAGTTCTGCACCCCTCGCCTCCCCACCCCAGGGTTCCAGATGGGAGCCCCGCAGGGAAGTGAACGCAGGGATCTCCCAGCCCTCTTCTGTCCCAGGGAGGCACCCGGCATCCCTCCGTGGAGGCAGGGGCTGCTGGAGCATCCCCCACCTGGGCTAAGGTAAGCAGAGCTGGGCTACAGGGCTGGGTGGCGAGGGAGGGACATGCTCACTCCAGGCCCCCTCCCTGGTCCTGGAACTTAGAGCAGACAGGCCCAGCCTCGGGAATGAATGGAGGAAAGGGCCTGGGAGGGGCAGAGGCTGTGGGCGCCTGCTCGGCCGGCCTGGGGGCTCCTTACATCTGTGTGTCTCCTCCAGGCTTTCTTCTTGGAGAGCTTCAGGCCTGTGCCCTTCCGGTCCCTGCAAGGAAGCCGGTGAGGGCAGAGCTTGGAGGCGTGGCTGGGCGCTCACCAGGGTGGGATATGGGCGGGCCCCAGCTGGCTGCCCACCCCTTGCTGGCCCTAGGAGACCAGGTAACTCAGGTTCGCTCAGGCAAGCCAGGACTCACGAGGGGCTGTTCGCCCTCTGGTGGCCGACCTGGGAGTCACACCCAGCGGTACCTGGTCAGGTAGAGTCTGATCCCAGAAGCCCTGGAGGCTCACCCTCCAGGAATCCGGGCAGCAGCAGGGGCCAGGCGGGGTCTCCAGTCAGCTCTGCTGAAGCCTCTGGTCCCTGGCTCTGTGATCTGAGACCCAGCCTTGGGACCCCCCGGGTGTCTGCCGTGCCCACCAACCCCTCACCTACCCCTTGCCATCCACAGAGCTCTCTTCCTCCTCCTCTATGTCCACTGCAGGGCTGGTGCGCGGGGGGCATGACCGGGTGGATACATTCCGAGCCAGGACAGAGCCTTCGGTGTAAAGTGGGAGTGGGGTTGTGCCCGCTCCCTCCCTGGCCCCCTCCTTAGCCTTCCAAGACTGCCGACTCCAGAGGGACCAGGGCCTGCTACCGACCTTCGGACACCACCCCAAACTAGCCAGGGCCCCTCAGTTCTGTGAGGGGAGGGACTCAGTCACTGCTTATCATTTATCCACCCCCAGACTCAAAAAGACACAAGGGCCCTGGGATGACACCCCGGGTGATGCCCTGCCCCAGGACGCCTGCCTCAGTTTACCCATCTATTAAATAGGGATAAAGAAGCCCTGCCTCTGGGATTGTTGCAGGAAGGAACCAAAGTCCATGGCTCTTTCTTGCAGGCGTCCCCTCCCCCACCACGGTGACCACACCCAAAGTCCCAGGAGGCCCTGGCAGAGGGGACGAGTCCTTTGGTCCCTCTGACCAGCTGGGAAAGTAGACCAGAGCCACCCCAGCACAGCCAGTTGGCAGGAGGCCGGGGCCCGGGCCCTTTTCAGCA